CAAACAGCTTTCAGATTTGGCTTTGTAAAGCTTTGTTTATACTATCACCCTGATAATGATCTAATTTATTTGTTCCAGAAAGCTTATTCTAGAGTCCTATAGGACTTTGATTTGGAATCAGGATTAGGTTCAACTAGTACTCAAGTAAAACTGATTATCCAACAAAAAACTTTTTTTCTACTTTGTTCTTAGTATAAAGATTTCCAAATTAGTGCCAAATGATTTGATTACAGAAATATCTCTCTGAGGATACACTATGAGAATCATGAGCAGAAAACAGTAATAATGTTAGAGGCTCCACTTATGGAATTAGATTTGAACCATAAAGTAAAATGATATGGAAAAGATTTTAGCGTCCATCTTGCACTTAAAAGCACAATATGCTTTGAAAATGTGCCACTATTTAAAATCAACTAATCAAAATGTAGTTTACAGTGCTATTATGAACCTTTTGCTAGCTTACATGATCATTGTATCTTTCTACGAGTAAAAATTATATGAAATCATAGAGAGCCATAACTTCTTCTAGGAAAATAAGAGATACAACTAACACATGTATGTGAAAGCCAACATATTCTACGGTAAGAATAACTGTAAAATTGAAACATCTATCATTTCTAATTCATAATATAAATATAAACACAATTAACTTCTTTTCTAATAATGGATGTTAACTCAAGTTTCTTCTGGACCACATGAAAATTTTTAAAATGTGCAATGTTTGTATTCTACATAAGCAAAATATGTATTAGAAAAATTACATTCTAACCAGTACCAGGAAAATGATGCTTGATGAATTCAATAATAATATGCTTTGACCTTCTGTGAAGAGGAACTTGGTATGTTTTGATTCCCTTTACTTTTTTCTCATTGCTGGGACAAAATACCTGACACCCAGAATGAAGGAAGGAAAGATTTATTTATCTTACAGTTTTTGGATGTTTCAGTCCATAATCAGCTGGTTCCAAGGCAAGTGGCATGGCACTGGGGCAATACTTCAAGGCAGCAGCCAGAGAAACGGAAGCCAGGGAAAAAGAGGGGAGAAAGGAGCCTCTTTCCAATCCCACACCCCAGAGCCCTGTAACACTCACAAAAGCTTTGCCTTCCTCTTGCACAGGATGAGGATATTTACAAAATAAGAACCTTGGCTCCCTGCTGTTTCTCCAAGTTAAAACTTCTAAACTTCTCAAGTTGATACAGTGTATCCACCATAACAGGGTAAAATTGCAAAAGAAAACAATACTTTTGATAAGAAAAGCATCAGAATCTTTTTAAAACAGAGGCTGAGAGGTCTCAGTTATTTTTAGAAATACAAAATTGCATTTTGACAAACATTGTTTGTTTAGAATAATGGGAAATATCTATCTATTATCTATCTATCTATCTATCTATCTATCTATCTATCTATCTATCTATCATCTTTGTTGTATTCATACCAAGTGTAGAAAACCTTAAGATTTCATTTAGTCAGTCAAAAGGTCTGAATACTGCCATGCAAGTTTCCCGGAGGCTACCCACGGAAATGGTGAGAGGCAGAGGTGCCACAGGCACCAATGAGGCAGTGATGGAGCCTTGGCACTGGTCAAGTTCCATGCCAGGTGTGCACCGTGCCGGGCACTTCATATGCGTCAAAACTTTCACAACAAGCACTGAGCACTGGCTATTCCTATTCTTTGGTTTCAATGGGGCTTGGAAGATGAGACTTTTGAAGGAGGCACGGTGCAGCTCAGACTGATTGAACCAACAGCAGAGGGAAGGCCCTTTCTCTGACATCCGATGTAGAGTAGGCCAGGAAGAAAGAGTGACTGTCCTCTTTCAGAAGTAATGTTTAATCTTTGAAGTTTAATTGTGCCTGCAGAGAAGCTGGGGCCTTATTCTTCCTGAATCCTCATGCAAAAGTCTCCAATGTTGCTACCTAGGAGTCTCACAGGTTCAGGAATCAACATGGGGGCTTTGCATCTCTCTTAACAGTGACCACCTCTCTGCATTCTGATGTGGAGGAAGGAGACTACAATTCTGTGATCCTTTTCCTTCAACTCCCGTTTCTATCATTAAAACTTCATATTTTCTGAGATATGAAAGATTGGCCATTTTAAATCATTTATAAATGATTTGAAGAAATAAGTAGATGTTATGTGTAGTTCCAAAACTATTTTCAAGGCTTTTTACTTTTGGAGTATAGAACTGAGAGTACGGGGGTTTCTCTACTTTTGACTTAATTTTTTTTTTAATTTTATTTAAGAGGAAAAAGAGAAAAACACAAAACAAAACAAAGCGGTGTAAGGGTACACGTAATACAGAACTACAAAAAAAAAAAAAACCGTAACAGTAAGAAATCACCTGTTAATAGATTACATATTATCATCTTGGAAATAGTTGCTCAAATCACAGTCTCAAAGAATAAAAAGTTGACATTCAAACAGAGAGACTGCAAACAGCTGTGTTCAGTGATCCAAAAACATTGATATAGTCAGCTATTTAACACCCCTAAACACACTTGCTGTTGTATCCTTTAGAGCTCTTTTTTTTCCCTCTCTTTTTTACAACAAAATTTACACATTTTGGATTTTATTACTCCTTAGTTCTTATTACTTTTTGGGGGGGCAGAGAATAAAGTCAAATATGGCAAAACAAAGCTGTCAGTCAAAACCAAGGATAGACATAGCACATGATGTAGAACAGAGTACAAGGTTATCAACAATGGTTATCAACGTTGTCTCGTTTCCTTAAAAAGAATTGTCTATCTCATTAGATATTATAAAGTTGGACAAAACAGTAGAGAACAAGACCAATAAAACTTAGGCATTGTAAACATTACAGGACTTCCAAAGGAGACAATAGTCAAACCAGAATGGGCATCTTAGTGAATCTTATTGCCTTCAAAGTTGTTGCCTATACCCTCAAACTTGATACTATCATACAGAATGGAACAGAGTTTTGACTTAATTTTTAAAACTTTGCTCACTGATGGATCCTTGGGCCGAGTTCTAGCTGCTGTCTGAATTCAATAATGTGTTCTTAAAAGTGATGTTTGAATTTCTCCCATGGGTGTGGAGCTGGCAGGTGTCCGGAAAACTAAAGAACATTTCTCTAAAAGTGTAGCACTTCCAGATTTCCTTGGTTGGAGGCCCTCTATGGAAAGTTTGGTCCTAGTCTCTTTCATGGAGGACAATTCATGACAGTCAGTAAGACTAGAGAAAGATTCAGGTCTTCTCTGTATCCCATGAATATAGCATGATCACTTGAATTAACTAGACACTATTTTTCTCCTTAGCTTTCCATCACTGAAACACAGTACCTGACATAGATCAGTTTACAGAAGGAAAGATTTATTTTGATTCATGGCTTCAGAGGTGTCAGTCCATACTGAGCTGTCTCCATTTTTTCTGACCTGTGGTGAGGCAGAAACATCATGGAAGAAGAGGTTGGTGGAGCAAAGTGTTCATCGCTTGGTAGTTGAACACTGAAAGAGAAAGGAAGGGAATAGGAATAAGACGTACCCTTCAACGGAGCCCTCTCAGTGACGTACATCGAGCTAGGCGCTGCTCCCTAAAGTTTCCAATGCCTTCTAACGGCACAACAGGTGGGAACAAGCCTTCAGCACATGATCCTTTGGGTGACAGTCCAGATCCAAGTTATAACAGTTAGGTGGGGATGTAAGATAGCTTTTGAATTTTTAAGGTATACATGATGATTTGGAATAAAGACACAGCACCAAATCCACTGAAACACACCAGCAAAGCCACCACCAAGCTGTACCTCTTAATTTATTACTTTATTGATTGTTAAGACTGAAGAATATGATGAAAATATTAAGAATGCAAATTAGCTTTTAAAGGTATGCTGTCCAGAGCCATTATGCTGTGAATGGCAGAAAGCATTGATGGAATGTTCTTCCAATGTTAGAAAGCCATAATCTGATTCAACAGAGGTGTCATTTACACCCCTCACCGGAGAGAAGTCTCAATGTAGTTTTGTTGTATTATTTTCATCATACTCCACACAAATGAAGATATCAGCAATGCTCTTGGAGGAACTATACTTCTCAGTGGCAAGCAATTATAGGTTGACTATGGATGTAAAAGTTTAGTAAAAACCAGGAAGCATTTTGTGTGCATAAATTTGCTACATGACAATAAGAAAGTGTTGTATATCTTATTATCATTCACATAACAATTCACCCCAAGCATTCATTTAGACACTGTATTTGCTTACATGTTGACTATCCTGAGCATTGCTGGGGCAAGTGTGATTCCAACCAGTTGATTCTTGTATTGAATAAATTTGCTAAAATTATCATTTTTATATTTCTTGTTATATTCTTATAAAAATTAATAAAATATATGCAATTTTTGATCAGTCTGCATTTAAATAATTGGACTGGTAAATGGTTAATCTTAAGTTGTATGTCACATCCTTTATATTGATTAAATTGAGAAAAAGCCTGAGCACCTATGCAAGTGCATACCATTTCCATTTCGAGAAGTAAGTTGTTAACATTCCCAGCATACCACATTATACCCTTCTCTAGTTGGCATGCTCAGTAAGCAACCAACACTATAATGGTTGACATACTGTGTCACCTTGAGAAGTGGAGAAGCTTAACTAAATTATTCATCAGTTGTACATCCTAGGGTGTAAAGGACACACCCTTATCCCTCTACCATGTTGTTTATTGTGTTAACTTGAGAAGTTTAGAAGTTTAACTAAGTGACTCAGCAGGGGGCCAGAGTCTTCACTTTGTAAACCTCCTCAGCTTGTGCAAGAGGAGGGCATGGAGATGGTGAGTGCTACACCTGCCTAGGGTGGGTAGCCTGCTTACAATACAAGTAAGGAAAAGAGACTCGCTTTTCTCTCCTTTTGCTCTTGTCACTGTTGCTACTTCTGCTGCCTTGAACTGTTGCCCCTCTGCCATGAGCCACTCTGCCTTGGAGCCAGCTGGTTATGGACTGAAACCTCCACAAGCTGTGAGCTAAACAGACTTTTCCCCCTTTAACTTTAGGTGTTGGGAATTTTGGCTCAGCAACAAGAGAAAAAGTAACCAAGACAAAAAAGAAGAGGATTGCTTGAAAAACAAAGCTCCACTTCTGCCCATGGTGGAAAAAAAGTCAAGATTTTTACAGTAGGAGATGTGAGTATGGAGACCATGATAGGTAAACGCCCCAGCAGCTGCAAAACTAACTGCAGAGGAGATTTGTTCCCACCCACATCTTCCATTTATGCCCATTCCCCAGTCCTTGGAGTTTTCTTTTGGGTTTTTAATTCCAGTCACATATGTAATCTGCGAACCTGTAAATTACAAAGGGCCTTTCAAACAATGTTAGTATGTAAATATAAAATACAACATTAAGTTCACATCATTAATATTGAGTAATAAGTCAATATTTGATAAAAATTGTCTCAAGGGAATATGCCTTTCAGCCTGTTTCCATGCCTCACAGACTTATTCAATTATTATTTAATTACCTGGTTAAATGTCATGGCTTACAAAGCAGGGATTAGATTAATAATAGCATGAGGTTTATTTTAAACCAGCCCCACATTAGATAGAGCTGGTTTTTGTCTTTCAGGGTACAGAATTTACATTAGTCCTCTGCACCTGGTTTTCAATGAATTCATTCTATTTAAGCTCCTGCCTCTTGTATTTGTCATATTTTTCCAGTCTTTAGCTATTCTCCACCCCATCTATTCTCCCCCCACCCCACACAGAGAGTCTTAATTCTACTATAAATCAAATACCTTAAAAAGAATTGTGCCCGAAATACAGAAGTACAAAATAGATTCTGGTCACAGAGAATCATCTAGTTTCAAAAGAAGGTGAGGCACCATGCAGGGTAGTTTCCGAGCCAACACCTTCTGCTGCATGGTTTGCTGCTTAATTCATCTCTGTGAGGTTGCCACAGCAACAGCCCCATCGGGAGGATTCATTGGCACCTAGATGGACTTTATTTCCCTGACATTTGCAGAAGAGGGCAGTGAGAACATCTAATGAGAGACGGAGTGATATTAACGCGTTCCTCTTTCAGCTTCATCATGTTGGCCCAACATTTGGTGTATTTTGAGCAGTCCTTTTGTTAGCCCAAGAGCTGCAGAGCTCAGGGGTGCTTGTGGGGGTTGGGGAGAGTGGTGAGAGAAGGTGGGGGAGTGGACCCAGGAGGGCTTGGGGGCAGCTGAACTGTGGTGGGCCATGCAGGCTTTTTGTTCTCTGCCATCTGTGTGCTGAGGTTTTGGGAGTGAGCCAAAGTAGCATTACCTGTATTGTGTGCCTTGAGTTGGGGCGGCAGCCAATCCTGCTTCAAGCATCAATCCCACCCCCACCCCCCACCCCTGCACAATGGCAGGGCCCAAAGAGCCAGGCAGACAAACTATCTGAACATTTGGTTTAATGAATATTGAGCAAAAATCATACAATAAATTATGAAAAGAGCTGTAAGAGAACAGACATCTCAACCCTACTGCAAGCCCAGGGCAACAGATTTGCAATGTTAAGTATAAAAATGGTTGTACAAATGAGGAATGATTTTTGAAATAATTGGCAAGTTTCAGAAACTGGTAACTAAGGAGAGACAGTTCATGATTGTTCTCAGGGCCAGGACTCTGGCTGTATAGCTGAAGGGACCAGGCAAAAAAAACCTACATAAATGGAAGGCTTTTCAGACACTGAACATAGATATCAAATTATGCAGCCTCAAAAATATCATAACTTACTAAGTGTCATATAGCTTTCCAGGATGTCAGTTTGGCAATCACTATCAAAATTTACAGGACTCGGTGTTGTCTTTTGACTCAGTGACTTTACCTCTAGTAATTTCTCCTAAAGTAAAAATTGAGATATGCAAACTCTTCACCATAAGAAAATCCAACGTAGTTATATAATCACTTAACACAATCCCCAGCTTGAACCATGCATGACTGTCCCATTGAGTGGCTTGTACCACCCTGTGGGACTGTCTCAAGTCACCTGATGGGACAGTCACACTTGTACACAGGTTCAGAGCCATCCAGCAGTGAGACATGAATAATGGCGACCTCATGAATACGTTAACCTTCAGAAATCTGCTAAAGGTAAATCACAAGGGAACTGGTTAAAGTGTATCACAGTGTATCTATGTAAGAGAGTACTTTGTAACCATTAAAAACAATGTTAAAGTATATTTGATGAAATGCAAACAATATTTTTATTTAGAGAAAAAAGCAAAACAGAAAAAGGTGGGAATAATACATAATTTTAAAAAACAGTAAGAAATCACTAGTTGATAAATTACATACTATTATCTTAGAAGTAGTTGTTCAAGTTACAAAATCAAAGCATAAAAAGTGGACAATCAGATAATGACAGTACAAACTATTCTGTTTGATAAAACAAAAACAGATATTAGTAATATGCTACTGAAGGAAAAAACATAACAGACTATCTATGTGATTGCGTTTAAAGAATATATTACACTAAAAAATACCCAAGGATCCAATAAAATGTTTATGGCTATTGCTCCATGGAGTAGAATTATAGGTGAGTTTATCCTCTGTGGGGAAAGATTCTACGTGAAAGAATAACTATCTCTGTTTTGGATAAACTTGGCTCCATCTCTATGTAGTCATATACACAGAGTTGGCAAGGCCATTTCTCTGTCCCTTCAATTAGCTTTAAGCAATGTAAGTAGGGCTAGCTGAGGAGCTGATATTCAATCTTTGAAGCAAAGTGACAGTCACTCTTTCCCTACCCAGTGACTCCTGAAAAGCAGTTGAGCCAGTGGGATGAAGAGCTGTGCTCTTCACTGGTGGTTAGAACAGAGTCTGCAGGAAGGGGCTATGACTTGCCAGGACAAAAAAGATTGCATATCAGAGCTGAAGCACTGAAGAACTGACTTCAAAATATTATATACTATCTCATTTGTGTAATGCAGATTACTCTCTGTATTTCTTTCTTTCTTTTCTTTTCTTTCTTTCTTTTTTTTTTTTTTTTTTTTTTTTTTTAGGCAGGGTCTTGCTATGCAGTGCAGGCTGGCCTTGAGCTCACTTTGTCACCCAGGCTGGTCTTGAACTTGCAGTGATCCTCCTGCTTCCACCTCCGGAGTGCTGGGATTACAGGAGTGCACCACCATGCTCTCTGCACTTCTGGCCCTCTGCATATCACAGAGGTGATCTCAGGCCTCTTACCTAGCTCAGCTCAAGGCTCTCACATATTACCTGCCACTCTCACTGTAACTCGTTCCCCAGCCACTCCTCTCATGAAGAATTAATAAATTCCAGGTTGGACCCTGGGTTAGGGCCTTCTTTCTGGTGAACCATCTTGACTGGACTTAGGACTCCCTTAACTCCCCATAACACACACACACACACACACACACACACACACACACACACACACATATATTAATGTCTTTATTCTCACCTTGGGTTGCACTAGAGGTGGTAACTGGAATTAGAATTCTAACTTCTCCATGAGATTACAAATATAAACCTTACAGACTGATATGAGATCCAGGAAAGGGCTGTTCACATTGTTCATATTCTCTCTCTCATATATATATATGATCTTTCTTTCTTTCTTTGGTACCAGGAATCAAACTCCGGACCTCACACTTGCCAAGCAGGCACTTACGCCATGAACTACATCCCTGGCCCTTATTTATGGTATTTATATTTTCTAGGTTTTTCAATAGTTAAGTATGTCTTCCTATCATTATCACAGTTTTGCAAAAGCATTGTACAAAGGAAACATATTAGTTTTACACTTATGACTATTAATCACTTAAGTAAATTTATTCAAGTTATTTTAGAAGGAGAAGGAAAATCCTGCCAGATGCTCCAGCCTCCTAACTTCTCTTAAACCCCGGAAAAAGAGCATGCGGAGTAAAACTCTGGACAGGATCATGAATAACTTGTACTGTGATGAATGGCAAGAAAAGCAGTAACTGGACAAACAAGCAATGTCTTGCAATATGAGTAGTATGTGAGGCCAAGAGTCACATGATCTCAAGTGAGCCAGTGGTTATTTTCTCTCTCTCTTCCTCCCTTTGTCTCTCTTTGGCAGAGGAGGAGGAGAAAAAGGCAGAGGAATCCCTTACTTCAAGTGAGATTAGGAAATGTGTAAAATGCAGGAAATATGGAAAATTTTATAGAAAAGCATCACCCAAATAAAGCTGTAACAGTGTCATTGAGTAGGTGCCTTGTTAAAGCTGCAGGATTGGAAACAGACAGCCTGGTGTCAACAGCAGTGCTTCTGTTAGGTGACAGCGGAGAGCAGGAGTTCTCCTGCACAGTAACTTTTCCTACCTCATCTGCTACACACCAGCCATGAAGGTTTTCAAAAGGAAGTTCAGGTTATTTGTTTATTTTCTTTATTATTTTGTCCTGTATTAAAGTATTATCATTTTATATGAATATTTTTGGGTTGTAGAAAGAATTATTTGCATTTTCATTACTTCTAATGAGGATTTCACTTTGATATACAAGCACTTTGGATTACAAACATGTTTCTGGAACAAACTATACTCAAAACAAGGCTTTACTGTACATATGGGTGTGTGTGTGTGTGTGTGTGTGTAGAAATTTTAGTGGTAACTGTAGTTTGTTACATATACTCTTGTTAGCCTTGGCGGTACATGCATAAACTTATCATATTATTAGAATTACATGAATTTGATTTTAGAAAAAAATAATCTCTTTCTGGAAGGCAAGTGCCATCATCTCCATGTAAATAATATTCCTCTATACACAGTGCCTTTTATTTTGGCAACATGTCTTTCCTGCCATCTGCCTTGGAAAGCACTTGCCAGAGTTGCAATAATAATTGAGTTACCGAGGGAATTAGGTGTAATGGAGGGGAAGGAAATTGATTGCTTAATTTTTATTAACAGAAAGTAAGAAAATTGTGACACCCTGCTGTGAACCAAAATGAAACAAAGAAGAAAGACACAGACATGACTCCCGACGGCAGGAATGTTCCTGTGCAAACACCAGCAATCCTATCAAGAGGGTGAGAAGTGGAGCAAGGGAAACAGAAAAGGACAGGGTGAAAGAACACAAGTGACGTGGTCCCAAGGAGAGCACAGAAGCACCCGGGATCCTGTGACCATCTGCTGGAAAGAGCAGTTGCACTCCTATTGTATTTTGCCTACCTAAAGGCAA